AAGACCAGAGACTGCCAGCTTCTCACAATCAACAGCCACAACCTGTTAGGACCACAAGCCTGGTGAGCCGAAGAACCACAGACAGCCTGGCAAAAAAATGAAAATCCTACCCAACTCCTTTCCACAGCTTTGTCCACTGTGGGTGCACAGAGAAGGCTTGAGGACCCTGAGCATGGCTTCTGCCCTAGTGACTCTGACTTCCCTACCCACATCCACCCTAGTGACTGACTTCCCTACCCACATCTACCCTAGCAACTCTGACTTCACTACTTACACCTTTGGAGAAAGCTTGAATTAACCAAGACAGCTGGGGTTCTGTGCAGATTGGATTTAAAGCCTAAAAATGAGACAAATCTAAAACTGAAAGTAACTGCAAAGGCCATGAGGTCTGCAGATCTCACTGTGGGCAGTGACAAGCAGTCAGACAAGACAGGCTAACCATGGGTAGTGGCAGGGGAAGCTGGGCTGGAGGGGCAGGCCCGTACCTTCAGTGTACAGGCTTTCTCCCCCAACCTCCACTCCATCCCCCTTGCCTGGTGATATGGAGGCTGACTACAGCCCCTTTCCATGTTTGCCTCAGGAGACAGAAGTTCATGTCCTGTTCACTCCCAAGCGCTCTGGGTAACTCTGAATTTATTTACTATAGCCTCAAAGTTCCGCAGGACAAAGTTCTGCCTCTGTCACTGCATATACTCCTTTGCCTAGAGCATGCGTCCACTTTGTGTGGCTTCTGATAAACCAGTCAAGCCTCAGCAAGAAGACCTCCTACCCTGTAAGGTTACATGAGCCACTTTTTGTCTCTCTGATCCAACTCTAACTCTGCCATGCCCTGTGATGCAGGAACTTGCTCGACCTGTGGGTAGAGGGACACTGAAAAAGCTCCACCATCAGGCAGCTCTGCCCTTTGAGTATCAAAGGGGCTTCTCTGCAGTTAGAGGTGGCACCACACTCCCGAGTCCGCTCCTGAAGTCTTTCTGCTGCCACTGTGTTCTCCACAGCTCTATCTCCCATCTTCCTTAGTGGTTTTTGTGGCTTTTGCTGTTGTTGTTGGTCGTGGGGCTTGAACTCTAGGCCTGGGCGCTATCCCTCAGCTCTTCAGCTTGAGGCAAGCACTCTACCTCTTGAGCCACAGCGCCACTTCTGGTGGTTTTCTGATGGAGATCAGAGTCTCACGGGCTTTCCTGCCCGGGCTTGCTTTGAACTGTGATCCTCAGATCTCAGCCTCCTGAGTAACTAGGATGACAGGCTAGGATTATAGGGAGTCACCAGCGCCCAGCTTACAGTTTAAAAAGTACCGGTTCCACTTCTCGCAACCTCCACTGATGTCTTAACTAAACCATCCCAGCTCAGTTCTTTTCCTGGATCTCCCGACTTTTACTTGCAAGTTCATGTGAGTGGGAACCAGGCGCACCACTGTGTACCAGAAGCCACGAACTGTGAAAGTGACACCTCCCACTGACAAAGAGATGAGGTCTCTGAAAGGAAGGTACATTTGAAATCCTTTAGCAGGGCACCTCACAGTACCTGCACAATCTGAATCTCAGCCATGTTCTTCCCAAGTCAAAGACAACTTAAAAGAATACAACAAAACGTAGAACTCAGTATAAAATAAAAAATATCGGCATCTAGTAACAAAATCAAAGGCAGGAAAACTATGAATTGACAAGAAAGAGGGCCAATGAATAGAAACAGACACAAACTAATGGAGATCATGTAACTGGCAGCCAAAACTTTGAAACTGAGCTAGATGCCAGTGGCTTATGTTTGCAATCCTAGCTACTCTGGGGAGGGGGGTGAGGGGGGGGGGAGAAGGGGGAGGCCGCTGAGATCTGAGGTTCTTGGTTTGGAGCCAGCCTGTGGAGACAAAAATCCTCCAAATAATTAGCAAAAAGTCAGAAGTAAGGCAAGGTTCACATGGTAGAACATGAGTATAAAAGAACATGGGCGTAAAAAGCCAAGCCATAGTAAGAGGCCTTGAGCTCAAGCTCCAGCACTGGAAAACAAAAACAAACCCTAGCCACCAATCTAGTCACCAGGGGCTCTTGCTCGTCATCCTAGCTACTCAGGAGGCTGAGATCTGCGGATTGAGGTGTTAGGTAATAGATGGGATAACAGTGGCTAAGGAGACTGCCACTTGATATTCAGGCAGGAGGGGAAGTTTATTTTACTGACTGCTGCCCCCACACGGTGGAGACCACATGGTTGAAAGGGACAGGCTGAGGGTCAACCTGGGTTTAAGTTGGGAAGGGGTGGGGGGAGGTGTGGCCAGGCCAGGGAGGGTGTGGCCACGATGGATTCAGATGTCACCTCAGGCTCAGGGACTCTCCCACAGTCCCATGGGAGAGGTGAGGGGGGTGTGAGCTCTGAAGAGGGGGCGGTGACTGCTGAGGTGTGCCATTTATCTAGGTGACACTGGTACTGGGTGGAAACAGCCAAGAGGAGGGAGGAGTCTGCCTGGCCTTCCCAGGGCAGACCTTACAGGTAGGAAGTCTGTGAGACTGATCACCAATAAACCGCCAGAAAACCAGAAGTGGCGCTGTGGCTCAAGTGGTAGTGTGTTAGCTTTAAGCTGAAGAGCTCAGGGACAGCACCCAGGCCCAGAGTTCAAGCCCCGTGCCAAACAACAAAAAGCCACAGCTCCCAACCCCCAAAAAAACACACCCTAAAAGTCGTACTTATATTCCAGAAAACAGAACATGTAAACATGAGAAGTGCAGAAATAAAACAGAAAAACAAAAACTTTTTGAATTAAAAGTGAATCATTTAAAGAAAAAAAAAAATCACAGTTAAGGGTTAGAGGCCTGGCCGGTTGATTGATTGGGCACCAGCCAATGAGCAAGAGTCAGGCACTATGTCAGAGTCCCAGTCCAGGCCTAAGAAAAAGAAACACACACTAGGACAGATTTATAAGCAGGCTAAGGGGAGAGCATCAATGAACTTGAAGACAGGAACTAAAAACACAGAAATATGACAAAAATGACAGACCAAACAAATGTCTTAAAATGAAGTAGCAGACAAATTTCCAATTTGCCTTTTCTGTCTCATTCCAGCACCAGGGCTTGCACACAGGGCCCTGTGCTCTCACTGGGCTTTTCTGCTCACATCTGGTGCTCTCCCACTTGAGCCATGCCTCACCTGTCATTTTGCTATTAACAGGAGGAGGAGGAGGAGGAGGTGTGTGCGTGTGTGTGAGGAGGAGGTGTGTGTGTGTAGGCTGGCGTGTGTGTGTGTGTGTGTGTGTGTGTGCGTGCGTGCGTGCGTGTGTGTGTGTAGGCTGGCTTGTAACTTTGACCCTTAGATTTCAGCCTACTGGGTAGGTAGGAAACTCCCAAATTGGCTGAAACTAAACTTCCATATCTAGCACTATAAACCACCAAGCCAAGGGCTATCACAGTCAAAATACTGGTAACTGTGGTAAAGGGGAAGTCTTAGAGGCAGGAAATAAAGAGACTGCTTACACAGAAGCTAAGGATGGCTACAAGCTTTTCATAAAACACTAAAACCTAATTTCCAAATGGAACATCTTTCTAGAATGAAGGCCAGGGCGATGAGGGCATGCAGACTACAAAGAGCCTTGCATAGGCAATGTTAAGGGCATTGTTTTGTTTTGTTTTTTTGGTCAGCCATGGGACTTGAACTCAG